ATTTCCATCTTCTGTGTTTTGTGAAGGCAGTACTGGTAAAGGTGCGTAGTGTCTAAGAGAACCTTATCAGCACTGTACTTAATGGAGTTATACCACCATATTCCCTGAAAATAAACGTGCAAAATAAGTAAATTTTACAGCCCAAGTAAACATTACAAAAAAAGCCTAAGAATCCCTATCAAGTTTTAAACAGATAGCAAAACCACCAGCAAACTGTCTGCAAGACTACAAGACCGTCAGACAAAACATTGTGAACTTTTTACACGATTGCCAATCAAAACTCGGCCTGCAGGCAAAAAATTAAAAGAGCTTTGCGAAAAAGACTAATGTAACCATAAAAAAATTATTTGTAGACTTCAAATCTGTTGAGCATTCAAGTTAAAATCAGAAAAAAAATTTAGAAAAGAACTTACTACACCAATGGGCAGAATCAATAAGAAAAGAACGACATAAAACATAAGGACCCAGCCACCATATTCGCTACTTACTATCCATTTTGGAAGAGCAATGCCAAAAGTTGTTGCTGTAATTGCACAATATATTGAAAGATAAAGAAAATTAGACACAATATTCACAAATAATAACCTTCAAATTATCAGTTAAAGACACTGCTAAAAGCACACACCTGTAGGACCGTCTGGATTGCCATATTTTTCCCAGTTTTCCCGGCTTTCTTCGTCTGTTAGTGCCTGATAAGCCTTTGCAATTTTATCAAAAGCTACAGGATCTCCGCCCTTGTCAGGATGCAAAGTTTTACTTAGCAATCTATACTGTCTTTTAACCTGCGCTACAGAAGCCCCCTAAAAAAATTAGTACAAAATGTTGACACCGGAAAAGCATTTGAAATTCTTATAGATAAAACACTTCTTTTAAAATTAGGTATTTAAGGGCAAACCTGATCAAGCCCCAAAATAGAATATGGGTCGTACTCTACATGATCCTGTTCAATATGCACAACTTTGTAAACTATAGCAAAAAAAATTAACCAAGCGAAGATTAACGCCAAAACTGAGAAGATTTTTTTAGTACGTCGCCAAGGTAACAATGCTTCAGCTTTTCTCCTTTTTTCAATGCACCCTTCACAACCACAGTGCTCTTCCTTTTTCTGTTTCTTATCTAAAAACGTTGAGTAAACTAGGAAAAAGCGACTGGGTAGTGGTTTCCTCCTAAATAACAATTTAATCCAATTCTAAAGCTTGAGACCACAAGCACTTCTAATGATACCACCTATTAAGAAGGCAACCGATATTAAATACAAAAGTGACCAAAAACTATGCCTAAATAGGAGTTAAATGAACAAATAACAAACCTTTTTTAGACGAAGGCCAAAATAAGTACGTCCCAGGAAGAAGTGCAAGGGCGTAGAACGACAAGACTACATAATAAAATGTATTACCCACCTCATCATACTCGAACTGTGCGCGTCCCATCGCGCCAGCTGTAATTCAAAAACATAAGAAAAGCGTTTAAAAGTCAGGAAAATTAACTAAAACTAAAGAGTAAAAAGGCGTCGTCAAAAACTTATAATCCTCACATGCAAAACTTAACCCGTCTGCATGCGTCGCATAACAAGCAAGATTATACATATATACCTTGTATTTTGATGACTTTTAATTTTTCTAGTTCGTAGCGTTACGCTAAGATTTGAAAACTGAAAAGGAAATTTGAAGAAAGCGACTTCCTACCAAGTTATGGCACTCAAAGCTCGAAAGCTCATGAGGTTAGCGCGCGACATGCCTCTCCTCTCGGACTTGTAGTTCAGCGTGACTTTAATGAAATTCAACAATTTTTTACAAATTCTCGCGAATTTACCTTTAGAAAATATTACAGCCCTTAATTGTGCAGAATAAGTTGACAGAGACGGCGAAAATAAAGCTTTAAAAAAATATATTAAAAGAAAGTTCTTCTAAAATTTTTGGCAAAACAGAATTTTTTTCCTTATAACATCGCACTTTTGTAGTGTATTTTTGGTAAAGATCAACGTTATGCGCTGAAAAACAAGACGCGACTGCTAATAAATCTATGATATTAAAGTGATCGCACCCATTCTGTAGGGCAAAAGCACTGTTTGCTGCTTTCAAAAGTTGAGAAATGCTGTCTAAATTTAGTACGTTTCATTCCATGAAGATTTGGTACAAAAAGTTCCTTTTACTTGAAAATTATTTTGCAGTTTACTTTTGTGCACTCCTATAATGAGCCACTTCTAATCCAACATGCTGTGGTCAACTCCAAGGGTCAAAAGGCCGTACTAAGCCTGCAATGACAAACAGGCAATAATAATGCAAAATGTGACACAACGTTAGAAGGACAAACGATTTCTTGACCAAAAAATGAATCAGAAACAATATTTTCAATATTGGTACATGGAAGGTCAGTGAAAAGAACTTCCATATTTATTAGTAACACCCCCGTGACGCTGCATGAGAAAAAACCCGTGTAGTCATAATGAAGCGCTTTGTTCTTGTTATCAAAAAATAGACATTAAATCCAGTCTCCAAAAACACTCTTTAGACTGAAATTCGACAGCTCTACGTCGTCATAACCGGCCCAATAAAATTTGTACCTCATTGATTTAGCACTTTTGCCGTTAGCAAGATATTAGAAAGAGCAATCGTTATAGCTAAAACTTGTAAAAGATCTCCAGATAAATCAGACCTGATAAAAGTCATTCCGTTTTTCCACCACAGGCACAAAAAATAATTGCTAAACTGTATCTCTCTTCAACTGCTCTTGCTGACGACAAAATTCACAAAATAGAAAATAACCGTAATACAAGTAGCTCGTTACATTTGCATAACAGTAATTTGAAAGTACTTTCAAAACAAATTTTTGCAACAAATCTTCAACATCTGAAACATACCAAATTCTAACAACTGTCGTTCTCGACTTTTTAAAGCAGTAAATGATAATTCCGCCACTAAAAAACGCATGCGATAACTATAACAACAGCGAATTACAGTCAATCCTGCCGCGCTTTGCAGCGCATAATTCTGGCTTCCGTCAGCGCTGATTACTAAATTTCGATTGTATTAAGCAAAAACTTTGCGCACAAGATAGTTTTTTTTGCCATCTTTTTACAGAATTAAAAGCTGTAATATTTGTTTAAGAACAAGAAAGAAATCTAATAAAAAAAGGTTCCATTAAAGTTGCCTGAACCATGAATCTTGAAAAACAGGCATGTAGAGTTGGAACCTTATAAATCACTCGACTATAAGGCGTACCTCAAAGTTGATCTCATTCTTCGTAAAAAATAGCTTTTTCATTCATTTCTTCTCTACGCTTTTAGCAGGTTTTAGAAACAAAATTTTATGAGTTTATCTGCAAAAAAAAGTGCCTTTAGTCATAAAATTACTGTAATCAGACGGTATCAAAACAGCAAAAAGTAAGGCTTCAACAACGAATAAACTGTTTAAATACTTATACCAAAAATAAAAAAATGAGTAAAATGTAATACGCTAAAAAAACTTAGCACTTCGTCAAATAACCATTCTGCCTGACTACTTTCGGCAACTGGTACTCAATGAGACTCCAAATCGTCTACTTCTGCTCTTTAATACTTTATTTTAGTCCTCCCGACTTACTGTTAAGCGTTTTTAAATATTCCCCGATTTTTCCTCCCTAATGTAAAGGCACAACTCTTTGCATAATGTTTCTGCCGAGTGACCACTTAAGAAGTTCGGCTTTGTTTTCTCTTACACATCTGACAACAAGAGCAAAGACGCGTTATAGGTTGTTATCTCGCTATGGAATATAGCTCCCGAAAGATCTCTTTGCCGCACGAAGCAGGAGAATATGTTGACGCTGAAAGCTTACGCAAACCAAAGTTCTCTTTATCTCGGAAAACTGCCCTTTGGCAGTGCCAGCTCACGGCTCATTAAACGACCACTAATATAAAGCTAAGCTTCGAATACTCTACGTGTAGCTGAACTTAAACTCCTTAACTTTTTTCCTCAGTTAAAATTCCTACCAGTGCTACTCTTCAAATTAGACCTAGTGCCACCAGTAAAAAGCAATCTCAGCAACTTGGTATCCACCCAATTGAAATGACGCCTGGCTAACCTTATCGGTTCCTAGGTGAAGCAAATGGTTTCTTCTTCACAGCCCCCCATACAGAATAAACTGACGCAGACGTAAGCGAATAGTTTTAACACAGGTGCTATTACCGTTCTGTCCCTCTACCTCCCTATGTACGTCTACAGGAGTTAGCCAGCTGTTGGCTTTCGACAGCCGCTGGATACACCGACCTATTTGAACAGTCACTAGCTTCTCTGTTATCTTCCCGTTTCTTCAATTCCTTCAAGTTCCTTGAGTTTTTTCGATTACAACCCCGCGCATAAGTAAACTTAGATCGATCAAGATATTCCCAAAATAGCCAAAAATAAACTAATTTTATTTTTTGACTGAGCCACTACTGATTGCTCAGACAAAAAGGGACTTAAATCCTGACCAAAACTTACAAACTAAAAACAAAATAGATCAAAAATGTGACAAAAAAGTCCTAGTAAAGTAAGGACAAAAGTAAAACCTCACTATCTTATCGTTCTCTGAAAACAGAACTAAACATAGTTAAACTGTCCGCGTTTGTACGGACCAGAAATTTCTCCATAGGTGGTCTTTCTCTAGCTCATTTTACCACTGCAACAAGAATTCCCAAAAAGAACTTAATTTCACAGCTTAAAGTATCCAGTAAAAAAATGTTAAATTATAATTTTTTTCGTCAAACAATAAAAAAGTTACAACTAACTTATAT